GGCTTGTAGGGGGTTTTGCCTCAAATTAACTGTTGTCATCTTACATCACTTGAAGTGGTGTCAGATTATAAGTCTTCTTTTAATTAAGTACTAAACATATGACATTTTCTTTAAAAGAATCATAATTATGTTGTTCGATCAAAACACCATCAAAAAGATTAATGAAATGATGCAATTTGAGCTACCTACTTAAAAAAGAAACATAAGAGAAGCTAATGGCATTATACTTTGAGATGCCATTCAAGCTACAAAGGAACTCATCTAAATACAAAAAATTGGAATAAGACATTTGACCCCAATATCATTCCCGAACTAAAAGATGAAGCGCACATTTTTAGATCCAATTTTATTATACTACATTTAATATTACTTAGACTTCTTAACTGGTTTTTAAAAAAAGACTTCATAATCTAATACTCCGTAATATGTTACACAAATTGAAAAGTGAGCCTAATTAAATTACAACTTATAAGAATTTGAAATTGTGCTCAATAGGAAAGACATTTGAGTAATGAAATCTTCGATATTAACTTCAACACTCCCACCTTCACCTGCTGCCTCTTTCGCTAATATTTTAATTTTTTTTATATTTTTCCATAATTCCTCAGCTTTCACCCCTTCAGTTGCTTGCTTAATACTGCTAGCAATTACATGCCTTGACACTATTTTTGCATCGACATTAACCTTAATCCGAATACCAACCCGCCAAATGTCCTCAATAAACTTTGCATTGGTTATCTGATCGCCGTTTCGCGGAATTCCCACCATTGGCACACCCAAAGTGAGCGCTTCGAGTGTCGAATTCCAACCGCAATGTGTAACAAAACATGCAATTGCACGGTGTGATAGAACCTCAACTTGAGAGCACCATTTCACTATGACACTTTTTTCTGAAATCTTCAATTTGAAATCTTTAGAAAGTTTGGCATCTTCTGACTCCCTAACAACCCACAAGAAATATTTGTTGGAGAGAACCAAGCCCATTGCTATTTCTTCCATTTCTTCTTCCGAAAATACAGAAATGCTCCCAAATGATATGTAAACAACCGAATGTGATTCTCTCTTGTCTAACCATTTCATATAGTGACTTTCATCGTCTGCCTTGAATAAGTCTATCGTATCTTGCTTCCCAACCATCCATTTATTAGGAACCAAGGGTCCAATTGTCTTCACATTCCATTTGTTTGCCATCATCTTCAATACCTATTACACATATTGCAAAGTATTGTTAGACAAGGTTTAGCAAGTCTACCAAACAAAAAGCAAGAATATCTGTAATAGCTACTCCCTCTAGGCTCTATCCCACTATTTTTGTCGCATTCACTATTTAGATGATTAACCTAAATTTGATTTTTTTTTACATATTTTCATTTGTCATTTGTTAAAAGAAATTATTCATGTGAACTCTAGTTTTGTAGAATTTTTAATACAATTTTTAAATACATAATTTTTATTGAGTTTACATAAATATTTAGAAAGATTCATTTTTAAAAAACCATCAAATGTTCTTAACAAAATAGATAAAAATAGCCAGACAGATATATTTTAGTATCAATAAGAGGCCCACCAATTCATAGTCAAAAATAAAAAATGAAATTCTTTTGCAAAATGGAAGGAATATACTGGTAATTCCCTATCATTGTTAGAGTGTCATCCCACATTAGAAAAATTAAAGTGTTAAAAAATTATTGACTTAAATAATAATCACCCAATTCCCAAATAAATATGTAAGAAAACTCTAATTTTAGATAAAAAGGAATTCATTTTTGTCAAAAATACATTAAAAGTTTAAGTGGTCGTTGGAAGAAACTAGAAAAAATTAAAAAAAACTCGAAGGAATAAAAAAACTGAAAAGAATTTAAAAAAAGTTACTCCGTAAAATTTAATTTTTCCAAACAAAAAAAATGATTTTAATCAAGAGTAATTTACTTTAATAGAACTAAAACATAATGACTTTCTCAATATAGGACCATATGTTTTTATTTTCTAATGTGGGAACATAAGTCATTATCTATTAGTCATTATTCAATTAAATAGCCAACATCACTTGGATATTTTTTTTCTTACTAGTTATTATTAAGTTCTATTTAGAAAATAACAAAGTTTAAATCCTACATCAAGAAAGAAATGACTTATGTTTTGTTACTATTCGGTGCAAATTTCACTTTAATCAAATATAAGGAGTAGAATCAAATTACCTCCTCCTCCAAGGCGTAAAAAGTGTTGAACAAAAGGCAGTCTGCCGTGGGCAAGTTGGAGGCCTGTTTCACGGTGAACTCTTCAATTTGCTCTGCAATCTCCCCGAAGTAGGAAAACGACGGCAGATCGCCTGAATCCATCGCCGGCAAATACGCCGCCGCCCCAGAATTAGCTCTGCCAATCCCTTGGAGCTGCCGGTAATAGATGCTGCAAACCGAAGCCGACTGGGTGAAAAACGCAGCGACCGGCATTTCGCCGGCCCGGCCGACCTCCGAAAGCCACGGCAATAGTGCGTCGTACACCACCACTCCTCTTCCGCCCCCGGCCACGTCCTTCTTTTTCGTGATGACCCTCGCGAGGCCGTCGGAAAAGGCGGGCCGCAGACGGGCGAGGTATTCCTCGAAGCTCTGAAGCGGGTCGCCGCCGCCGTCGGATCCGTCGGAGATGCACTCCACCGTGACGCCGGAAAGCGGGGATCGCAGTGATTTGGCGACGGCGTGGGTGAGGAGCAAGGTGACGTTGAGGCCTTTAGTGGATAAAGATTGACAGAATCGGAGCATGGGGTTGAGGTGGCCCTGAAACGGTGCCGGAACCGCCGTGATTTCCATTTTCATTTTCCCACCCATTATTTGATCTCGGCGCGCTCTAATTTGGTGAATTCAACAACCCTTTTTATGGCAAGTCTTCCCCTCCTTTTTGCATTTATTGCGCCGCACGGCGGTGTTTTAGGTATTGTTTTTTTTTTCTTTTTTTAAATATACTCTATACTTTTAGCATTAAATTCCATAATTAGTCCTTTATAACAGAGGAATTTCCATATTTAGTCCTCTATTATCAAATATTACCCTTATAGTCCTTTTTTTAAGGGTACCTTTCCACAAATGGTCCTTTTTTTGATCTTCTGTCGTGTTGGTGTTAATTTAAAGGCCAAAAGTATAATTTGACGTCAACATTATATCTAGTGACGTGTTCTGATATTGGTTAAGCGGATAACACAAAAATAATGACTATGATTGTGGGTTAGGATTCTGACGAAAGATCACATTTATAGACTATAGTTGTCGTAAAAAGCGACTGTAATTCAAAAACGACGCAAACGGAATAACCTTTAAAATTGTGTATGACAAAAAAGATATATTATCATTGTGAAATTACACTTTTAGCCATCAAATTAACACCAACGTGATAGGAGATCAAAAAAGGACTATTTGTGGAAAGATACCCATAAAAGAAGGACTACTTGGGTAATATTTGATAATAGAAGACTAAATAGGGAAACCCCCTGTTACAAAAGACTAATTATAGAATTTACTCATACTTTTAGTAAAAACTTTATAAGGACAATAAAAATAATGTCATTTGTACGGAGTATTATTGTATTTTGATGTGAAGGGACATTTTTTCAATTTTTCTTAATGGATTTGTTAGACAATAATACTAATAGTACTTCTAGTAGTATTGGTTATGGTAGTGTTTGATTATTAGTCAGTTTCCTACTCCTATTTGTGGTAGCTAGATGTTGTATGTTAGTTAGTTTCCATTCTCTATTCCTAGTTGTGTTAGGAGTCTCTCCTATATATACTCTATCATGTACTTCATAATTCAAGGAGCAATATTATTATTCCAATATTTTCAACATGGTATCAGAGTCATCGCTCTTGGTGACCTAAAAGAGTTAATTGCTTCCGCCGCCGCTGCCGGTAATTCCGGCGACGGCGGCTCCACCCTATTCACCTCTATTTTCTTTTCCTTCTTTATCCTCAAATCAACTTCTCCATTTGAATGAAAAAAAGAAAAAAACTCTGTTGAAATCACACAAAAAAACTATCAAAGGAGGAACTTCTGTGTTGTCATCTCCATGGTTCTTCAAAAAAAAACCCAACTTCTCACAAACTCTCTCAGATCATCCTATCTTCTCAAAAAAAAAGAGAAACAAAATGATTGTTGTTTCTCTCCAATTCACCATATCAAAATCTCAGACCCAAATTTTTTTTCCATCTTCAATTCTTAACCTACTTTTTCTCTCTAAAATCACTCATTCTAATCATCAACCTCCCTTCTTTTTCTCTTCTGTTGAACCAATAAAAATCCAAAGTAAATCAGCACAAAAGCAAAGCCAAGAGAGGAAGTAGTGAAAGAGGAAATAAGACCTCTACAACTCACCCCTTCAAGAAGGAAATAGGGCATTGCCCGATCCAAGAAAAAGACAAAAAATGTCAAGAATCTTCAATCAAACAGGCACCTCCAGTAGCCTTCTCTATTATTCTTCGACGTCAGCAGCTACAAGCGCACGTCAACCTTCTCTCTTCTCCATCGACGTCAGCAGCCACCGGCGCACGTCAGACTTCTCTCTTCTCCAACGACGTGATCTGAGCAGCCACCGGCGCATGTCAGACTTCTCTCTTCTCAAAGTTTCCAGTTTCCAGCTAGTGTCCAAGCTTCCTCTTGCTTCAGCCAGAGTTCAGCTTGAGG